CTGTTCATATTAAACACACACACACACACACACACACACACACACACACGTACACACACACACACATATATATATATATATATATATATATATATATATATATATATATATATATATGTATATATATGTATATATATATATATATATATATATATATATATATATATATATATATGTATATATGTATATATATATATATATATATATATATATATATATATGTGTGTGTGTGTGTGTGTGTGTGTGTGTGTGTGTGTAGACTGATGAATACATACATACATATATATACATGTATGTATATCTATATATATATCGGTATGAATAAATGTATAAATAAATGTTCATATATATACATATGTATATGTATGCATATATATATATATATATATATATATATATATATATATATATGTATGTATGGTACATATGTATATATAAATATATATATATATAAATATATATATATATGTGTGTGTTTGTGTGTGTGTGTGTTTGTATGTATGTGTGTGTGTGTATGTATCTGTACATATGCATATACAAATATATATATATGTGTGTGTGTGTATACGTGTATGTGTGTGTGTAGTCATCTACTTATACACACAAAAACAAACAGATGTGTATGTATATATACGTACATATATGTATGAAAACAATTGTCTCCTCAACGGAAAAAGATTACTTATAAACTATTCACAAAATTCATCACAACTCGCATCTCTCAGAGTCTGAGAGAGAAAAAAATAAACGAATATATGACAAAATCCAGCAGTAGTAGAAGCAATTCGAAGACAGGGAACAGAGAAGGTATATTGTAAAATATTGGAATATATATACGAAATTGGTACAGCAACCATCAAGCTCCACACGGAAACCGATTAAATACTCAATGAAAAAAGGTGGTAGAAAGGGCGATACTATCTCACCAAAACTGTTTACAACTTGCCTTTAGGAATATTCAAGAAGCTAGAATAGAACGGAGAATATCAAATAGAGGAGGAATACCTAAACAAGGTTGAGGTAGTAGACAAGTATATATATCTAGGGTAAATCATACAGACATATCTAGCAAAGAGGAAATAAAGTGACGCATCAGTCTAGGCTAGAGAGCCTTAAGGCAGACACGTAACATTATGTTTAAAATGAAGGGTCTTTAACCAATGCGTCCTGCAGTTATAATCTATGGATCAGAAACATGGACTACAACCAAATTAGTGGAGAGGAAACTAATAAGTGCCTAGAGAGGGATGAAAAAATTGATGCTGGGAATTAGCCTAAGAGATCGGATGAGGGTGACGTGGATCAAGGAACAGACAAAAGTGGAAGATATACTTGGAAGCATCAAAATGAAGAAATGGCAATGGTCAAGTCAAGGACAGGACAATAGATGGACAAAGAATGTAACTGGCTGGGCTATAGATAACATAAAAAGGCCAAGAACCAAATCAATGACAAAATGGCGTAAAGAAATAACGAAATGTGGGAGCTAAGACTGGAAACAGAAGACGCACGACAGAAAAAGGTGGAAAAAATTGGGAGAAGCCTGCATTTGCAGTGGATTTGCAGTCGCACAATTATCTATTTATTTATTGGTGTGTATGAAAACACACAAACACACACACACTCGTGTTTATATATATATATATATATATATATATATATATATATATATAATATGTGTGTGTGCATAAACATGCACATATATGTGTGTGTGTGTTCACGCGCGCGCGCGCGCGTGTGCTTGTGTGTGTGTGTGTGTGCATGCATGTGTATGTGAGAGAGAGGGAGTGCATGTGTGTTTGTGTGTATTACGCTTTTCCCATAACTATATAAGGTAGATTCAAAGCAGAATTTCATAGTTCAACGAAAAATATTGTTAAGGTATAACAAAAACATTAAGAATGAGACTTTTTTCTAAAGTTGCATAATTATCACATTTCCTAGGACTGATTTACTTCCTTTCAAACCAAGTGCTTCAGAGAAGAGAAAGGACGACTCCCTCATTCATAATTTTGAATCATATGTGTACGTGCATTATGAACACATGCATACACACATATACACACATATAGTGTATGTGTATATATTGATATATACAATTATGTATATATGTGTATATACATACACACAAGCATATGTGTACTTATTCGCATGCATATAAACACACGTATGCATATTAATGTAAATAGTATCAGTAAGTTTTTAAAATTATATATTATAAATTATTCTTCACCGTTTAGTATGCATGTAGCCAACGCAATGTATGGGGAATAACAAATAAACAGTATTATATAGAATTATATTTTTATTAGAATAAAAACTCTTTACAAAATAAAGCTTCAAATGTAATTATTTTACAATATTTATTAAACAACAAAATCTTAACAAGTTATTATGGTGTAGAGTAACCACTCGAAAGGGAGCCTCCAATGATGGACCCACCGCCACCTCCACTGACGATAATTTCCCCACTATCTCCACCGCCTCCGAATCCTCCGCTGATAACACCGCCTCCAAATCAACCACCACTTCCACTATTTCCAAAACCACCGCTTCCTCCACTGCCTCCAAATCCACCACCAACTCCACTGCCTCCGAAACCACCACTTCCTCCACTGCCTCCAAATCCACCTCCAACTCCACTGCCTCCAAAACCACCACCAACCCCGCTGCTGCTTACGAAACCACCACTTCCTCCACTACCGCCGGAGCCGGCTCCTCCAATCACTTGACCGCCCCCTTGGGAAGCTGCATTCAAGGCGCTCCGAAGATCAACGCCGCTTGGAAGAACTGGGTTCTCGCCGTCAGCGTAGTTCACGAAGTAAACCTCAGGACTGGTTGCTGGAGGTGCTGGGACTTCGATCACATCCTGTTGCTCTTGTGTCTGTTTGTTAAGGACATAGACAACGCTTCGCGTCTGTGGTGGAGGTATGACGATAGGTTCTGGTCCTGGACCTTGTTCAGGTGTTTGGATGAACACGATATTCGTGTCAATGGTTGGATCAGGGATGTATGGTGGAGGACCGTGGGGAACTGGAGGTGCGGGTGGTGCGTTGCGTCTCACGCGTGGAGTAACACATCTGCCAGCATGGAACACTTGTCCTGGACCGCATCCTCCTGAACCTCCATAGCGTGGTCGGTCAGCCCATGTCGTGGCTAGAACTGCACTAATTAAAATCTGCAACATTCAGGAACTTCATTAATACATTTACATATGGCTGAAGCCTCATTTACAGCAAAAAAAATTATTGCGTTTCATGACAAATCCTTTTTTCAGTATAAACAAATATTTCCTACAGAGTTTACATTGGCTTTTCTCTAGCCTGACACATAGCAAGTAGCCCTTTCTTACCAAGGTCTTCATGGTGAACTGATATTTTCCCTTTACAGGTGACCACTTATATACCTAACATTCTCCTGCTATACAACTCAGCACTCTTAAAACTTGTTTCCACAACGACCACTCTCCCCCGCCCCTTTCGAATTTCTACGCCCGCAAGCGACTTGGTCTGCAAATGAGATGATCATATCCAACAGTGAATATGTTACATAGTGAAAAAGATGTATATATGTGTGAGTGTAAACATATACATACATGTGTTTCAAAGCATATAATCACACATATATGTATGTATATGTGTATAGAAGCACGCACACGTACACACATACACACACACGTGCACACACACACACATATGTACATATAATAATGCATGTATTATATAAATATATGTATATATGCATTATGCATATATATATATATATATATATATATATGTGTGTGTGTGTGTGTGTGTGTGTGTGTGTGTGTGTGTGTGTCTGTGTATAGAGGCATATATATATGTACTTATATAAAAATATATATGTGTATGTGTAGTGTATATATGTATGTATGTATATGTGTGTGTGTGATCAGACGAATAATCAACCGAAATACGTAAATATAATTAATTATTTAGGTTGATTATATGTATGCTTGTATGTACATGAATTTTTATATGAATACATTTATATATCTATGTATATATATATATATATATATATATATATATATATATATATATATATATATAAACATGAATGTATAGATATATATATCATAAGTTTATGTATATATAATAATAGATATACCTATGCAGTATTTACATATATATATAGCTAAACACACACACGCACGGACACGCGGGCGCGCGTGCACACACACTCATGTGTGTGTATATATATTATATATTATATATATATATTTATATATATATATATATATATATATATATATACATATATATATATACATATGTACATCTATACACAAACACATATACGTATATATGTACATATATGTGTCAGTGTACATATACATATGGAAAGATATATATATATATATATAATATGCACATATAGATACAGGCACACACATACATTCAAATTAATATCATATATAAACATTTATGTACGTATGTGTGTGTGTGTGTGGATATACAATTACATATATATATATATATATATATATATATATATATATATATAACTATGTATATAACTATATATATATACATATATATATATATATATACATATATATACATATATATATAACTATGTGTATATGTATATATACATAACTATGTATATATATATATATATATAACTATATATATACATAACTGTATATATATATATATAAACTGTATATACATAACTATGTTTATACATAACTGTGTATATATACATAACTGTATACACACACACACACACACACACACACACACACACACACACATATATATATATATATATATATATATATATATATATATATATATATATTATATGTGTGTGTGGATACACACACACACACACACACGGTTCATCGTAATCCTTGATATTGTAGTGAACGTGATGTAACCCCACTAGTCACGGGAGATCAGACTTTGATAGTTCCCCCTCTTGACAGCAGTAGCACTTGGCTCAGCACCATTTGTGGGGATCTGCCTTTTCTTCTGTATTCTTTTTATCTTTTACAGTTTTTACTTTCTTTTACGTCCTCAATTTCATATTTAACTTTCTGAGAAGTTGAATAAGTTTCTCTCTT